CAGCTACTCGGGAGGCTGAGGCGGAAGAACCGCTTGAACCCAGGAGGCGGAGGTTGCAGTGAGCCAAGATTGCACCACTTCACTCCAGCCTGGCGACAGAGCAAGACTCCTTCTCAAAAAAAAAAAAAAAAGCAAAATTAGCTGGGCATGGTGGCACATGCCTGTAATCCCACCTACTTGGGAGGCTGAGGCAGGAGAATCGCTTGAACCCTCAAGGCAGAGGTTGTGGTGAGCCAAGATCACACCATTGCACTCCAGCCTGGGCAACAAGAGTGAAACTCGATCTCAAAAAAAAAAAAAGAGTTATGCCACAAATCCTGTTACTGAATTCTACATCAAAGAAAAGTGTCTAACTCCCCTTATTATGTGTTATCTCAAAAAGAATTTCACCACCAAAGGCTAGCTTCCCTGTGGCTTTCTTGTTTTGTTTACTTTGTAAAAGAACCACCCAGCCACTGCAGAAATTTTATCAGGGAGCCTAAAATTTCCTTGACATGGAACTGAGTTTTATTTGAAGAAACAAAAAAGTTAAGAAAAAAAGAAGTGAGTAACCTGAGCCCTGGGGAAAGCCTGTGACCAGTGTGGTGAGGGCAGCAGTCAGGCTGGTATCTGTCAAAAACATGATTGCTTTCACACTGGGTCCTCTGGGACTGGTGCTTGCCATGAGGGTAGAGGGAAGTAAGGGGTAATGGTGGGCAACCGACAAGGCTGGCACAGGTCCTCAGAACCCCCAGACAGACAGACAAAGGAATCAACGCAAAGGAATCAGGAGAGTTCATGTTGACCCCTCAGGGAGCCCACATTTCTCTCTCACCCACACCACCCATGTGGGAAAGGTGCTATTAGTCCTCATTTTAAAGAAGAGAAATTGCTGCAGTGATGACAGGTCAGTAGCATCTCCGGGGGCCCATATCTGGCCAGCTTCAACCAGGTTATGGTCCTGGCAGTCCTGCCCCAGAAACTCTGCTCTTCTCCATGTACCATTGACTTGGTTTTCAGAGAGGCAATGTTTCCCTGAAACATGTCTCTTCAAGATTGACAGAACAAGATAAACATTGGGGAACTTCTAAAATGCCTAAAGGCAGCAATTTCCTAACTAAACGTTTTTATTCTCTAATCCAGTAGGCTGCCGATTACCTGGGAGAATTGATGGGCCTTGACCAGGAGACATTAACCAGAGGCTGTATGTGGCCAACCGAGCAGTTTTTGTGCCCTTCCATCTTTCCCTTTTTATTCTTTTTTCCCCTCCTTCCCTCCTCTTTTTTGGGGCCCCCTCATAAGAGTCTGCCACTTTCCCCCAACTCTCATTCTCCCAGAGGCCTCCTAGGCTCCTGTTCCTCCCACAGTTTCTCCCCTCCTTCTACCTCTCTCCTGGCTGCTCTAAGTAGGTCTCTGGCCATCTCTTCTGAGGAGCATATGCTCTTACTAGCAGCCTCAGTGGGCATTGCTAGGTGCCCACATACTTCTAACCACTTTCAACAGACCCAGCAAAATGGAGGCTGGCCAAACAGCTTCCTGCGGGAGACAGGAGGCTGGTACCTCTCCAAGCCCTGCTTTAAACTGGACATTGCTCAAGTCCCTCCTGGGGAGGGCTAACTTGTAGTTTAAATTGATCAGAAGAAGGCATGGGACAACTTCTGAGGAAGAGCCCAAAGCAGAAGCAATGCATGATCAGGAGGCTGCCTTTCCACCCCATGCCAGCGCTGTGGCAACCTGAGAAGCTCCTTTCACCCCCTGTACCTCGGATTTTCCATCTGTGAAATGACGAGGGTGGCACAGAACTCCGGGGTCACTGACATCCATTTTGAGAGTCTGGTGGAGCCTATGATCCCTCTTCCTTTCCTAGAAAAGTATATATACCCCTTTGATGTCAAAAGGCCCAGACTCTAACCCCCTAAAACTATCCATGAACCTCCTGTAAATCCCCAAGGTCAAGGTCAGGGACAGCTGCTGCTCTCCAAGGAAACCTTAATGCTCAGTTTGTTGTTTTCCCGCCTTCTTTCTCTCCTGTCCTTCACCCACTTTTTCCCCTTCCCCTCTTCTCTCTTTCCTTTCTTCCTTCCTTCATTCCCTCCCTCCCTCCTTTCTTCCTTCTTTCCTCCCTGCCTCCCTCCCTCTCTCCCTTCCTCTTTTCAGAATGTTGTTAGACTTATGACTCCCTGAGAAACATGTTGTTTGAATATTTTGGGGGAAGCCGAGGCACACCTTCTCATCACCATAAACAAGGGACTTTGTGGAACACCGAGCATAGGAACAAATTATCAGCACTAGCCCGGGAGAGAGGCATGTTAAGAGACAGCCACAAAGGTCATCCTGGGGCAGCTGCAAGTGGAGGGACACACAGCACACAGCTCTTATAGCCCTCAAACACACAGAGAACAATGTCACCCCATTTCACTCGCTGACCACCTCGGCATCCCCACCCCCACCCCCTAATCAACGAGGCTGTGTGAAATGAAAAGAACCTCCTACCAACAAGAACCTTGGATGACCCTGCAATATGGGACAAGGGTCATCTTGTCATCTCAGCTGTAAAAATTTTCACCAGTAAAGACTATTTCCTTTGTGTATACAATGACCAACAGTTTGGTTTGCATTCACGAACAAAGTGCATCTGGGATTAAGATCTAAACCTAAAAGGTGCTGATAAATAGACAATGGTGCACAACAGTAGCCATTCAGGAAGCAGCTTATTCTGCTATTTTTTTCTTCAACTCTACTCCAAAATAAAGCCAGATTTGTATCAGCAGAACATTCTTACAGCAACTGGACGAAATTATCCCGTAACAAAGCTGTTGGAAAACTCAACTGCAAGAATAGCAGCCCGCCTTGCCTCTTGCCATCAAAAGATCTTTGCTATTCGAAAGACTTTTTAAAGAAGCCCAGAAGAAATGCCCTGTTTAAAAATAAAACAATTTGCTATCACAAAGACAGAAGCATCAGAAGGAGTAATAACAGCTTCATACAAGAAAAAGAAACTTCTGGAAATTGTTAAAATGGACAAAATAAAATAGACGTGCTACTAAAATGCACTAATTGACTAAATGCAATAAATGGCAATAAATGACTAAAAATAATGTCATTGCTAGAAAATGTGTGGTACGGCCTTTTCTCAGGCTTTCAGAGTAAATGTTATGGAACAACAGATGTAAGTCAAAGGTGCTTCATTTTTGATTCCTCCTTGTGGGGAGAGGGTGTAAGTTGATTCCTTCCTTACTTTCAGCAAAGTCACTCTTGATTCATGTTGATGAATATCGTATTGGTGGCATATGAAATGGAATTGGTTCGTTGGTCACTGCCTCTTCTCCTCCAGGCTTATCCCAGGCTGCTGTGATCCTTACCAGACAGCAGCCCCACCGTGTTCTGAGCAGAGAATACACTAAAGGTGTGTTCTGTGAGGGACAGTCCTGCGTTCCCCCATCCTCAATAACACCAGCTCCTTCTGACGTCACTCCAGAGACACCTGGGAGTCACCTTCCTTCTCCCTCTGCTGCCCATGTGTCCTCAGGCACAGTCAACATTGATCTCTCCATCCCCTGCTACCACGTGGTGCTATGTCTATGCCATGACTTGGCCCTTTCACCTTGCTCCTAGATTACTATGAACCTCTCCATCTGGCTGGGTATCCAAGATACCCACCCTTTGGCTCATGCTTTTCTGCTTGGGTCCTCTCCCCAATGTGCCCTTTCCGAAGGTAACACCATCCAGGACACGAGACAGAAGGGCGAGTAGGAGCTGAGACCCAGCCCGCACTCCGCTCATCAACTCATGGAGTGGCCTCCCCAGTGGGCACCTCTGTCTGATTTGCACAAAGGCTCTGCTTGGCATAGCAGCAGCCCTGCCTCTAGGTCCTGGCTGCATCATATTATAATTAACCACCTGTTGGTCCATCCCCACCCCTTCATCAGATGCACGATCTTTGCCACCCTTTCCCCACCCTGGCGCCGGAGGAAATGCCTGGACCATGTAGACATCATAAGGAAGTATTTGCTGAATGAATCACTGCATCAGATCCTGGGTGAAGAGAGCAAGAAACTGTATGGGGGAGCCACAGAGCTGAAAGCACAGGGCACTGAGCAGGAGCCAGGGTGTCTTCACCCCCGCAGAGACTGACAGAGTGGAGTTAAAAGCGGCCACTTGAAGGGACAATAAGTTGTGTGATTTAGCTGACCCTAGGGAGCATCTGCGCTAAACCAGCTGGTTGGTGATTCTGGAACACCTGGTCACAGGTGGCTGAGCTCAGAAGGGCTACAGGGTTCAGCAGCTGCAGCCTGGGGAGATGAAAATTCACACTCCCTTCTACACTCGAAGAAAACAGGACCTGCAGAAGGTTTCCCAGAACACCGAACAAACACCCAAAGCAGGGGGTGGGGGAAGAAAGCTCCAAAAGGCCAGCTGACAACCTGATTAGAAAGCCTAAGGGTGGGGAGGGAAAAGCCACTCCCACCTTTGGGGACAAAGTCTTTGGAAGGCCGGAAGGCCATGGGGATGGAATTATGTCCAACCAGATGGTGAAAATTCTTCACCTCCAGATGGATCCAGATGGCTGGGAGGGGCCCTTATTTCCTAGAGCTACCGGTGCCACACCCGTGTCTAGCTGGGGGCTGATGAGAGGAGGACATTACAAGGGCGCAAGAGGGGATGTTCTGTACAACTTAAATCTACCCAGGCCTCAGGCATGGCCTCTCCTCCAGGTAAAGTGGCATAGATGGGAAGAAGTGCCCGAGGATGGCACTGCCTGTTGCTGCAACACACACAGGGAGTAAAGGCTTCATGGAGAAAAGGATCTACGTGGGCCTGGAAGGGGAGGGCTGCAATGGGGGCCATCACTGAGCCCCATGCCTGGGAGCAAGGGGAGGAACAACAGGAGCAGGGAGCCCCGTCTTATTGGTTCTAGACCCACCGACAGCGGCCGCAGTTCTGAGGACTTGGGCAGGTTCCAGAAACAATGTGAAATCTCCTTTCTAGTCCTCCCCCCACCCCTCCTACCCGAGCCCTACCTGTGTTTCCCTTGAAGCCCCCAGCTCGATGTCATCAACAGGAAAATCCTGAAAACCATGTAGGCTGCACCCTGGCTCCGAGACAGCACAAACCGGTGGAGCTGGTCAGGTGGGAGAGGAGGGAGCCGTGGTGAGGGTGGCTACAGGGTTCCTAGCCACTTGACCGAGGTCTGAGGCAAGAAAGGACTAGAAGGCAAGGCCGGCAAGATTCGGAGAAAGGGTGTATGTTCCAGAAGGTCTCTGTAAATGCAGGGGAGTTTGGAACGAAATGCTAAACAGAGATTTAAAGGAGGAGGCACTTGCTGGAGGTGTGAGGGCAGGGAGGGTTCTGGAGGAAGTGGGGAGGGCTCTGGCATCCCAGGGGTGTGCCTTGGGACATCTGTGAAGGAGGGACAATCGCACTTTGAGCCAGTTCCTTAAATACACCAGTTATCATCACCATAACAGAAGCTACAGAAAAGAAAGTGGGCCAGCTCTCCAGAGTTGAGGGGCTGCCAGGAAGGCCAAGTACACAAGCCTTGGTTATGCTGAAGAGTGGTAAAGGGACTGGGGGGACAGACTGGGGTGGACTATAGTTGGAGAAAGACAGGAGTGAGATGTGTCCACTCAGCACCCTCGTCTCCACACCTCCTTCATGTGGGCCTTGCAGATGAGCATCGAATACGATCTGCTCCATGCCTTGAACTCACTGTCTGGCAGGGGTCAGAGTTGTACAATCATATAATTACAGCCTGCTCTCCAGCCTTCCTGGTCATTCAGTGTCAAATGAGGACATTTTTGGAGTCTAAGTCATCAAATTTCAAACTGTTTTCAGACCACACCCCTTCCCCCACCGAGAACTGCCATTTGGTCATTCTCCTGGATAAGGAATTATCACAGTTAACTTCCAGGTGCTAAATATTTCTCAAAATGGCACAAGAGCAATTGTGACTTCCTAGCTCAAGAGCCCACAAAGTAGTTCAACCGTATCCACGGGCCTGAATCCATCACCCTGCCAATAGCATCAGTGGACATTTGCTCATGATCTAGTATCCCTTTTTTTCGAGACAGAGTCTGGCTCTGTCACCCAGGCTGGAGTGCAGTGGCGTGATCTCAGCTCAATGCAACCTCCACCTCCTGGGTTCAAGTGTTTCTCCTGCCTCAGCCCCCCCGAGTAGCTAGGACTATAGGCGCCTGCCACCACACCTGGCTAATTTTTTGTATTTTTAGTAGAGAGGGAGTTTTACCACTTTTGGTCAGGCTGGTCTCAAACTCCTGGCCTCAGGTGATCGACTTGCCTCATCCTCCCAATGTGTTGGGATTACAGGCATGAGCCACTGTGCCCAGCCAATATTTTTAAATTCCAGCATGCTGAATTGAATAAGGCAGCCAAGGGCATAAATTCCTTTTTCTTTCTTTCTTTTTTTTTTCAGAATGGATACATATCTCTAAATCTATTTTCTACCTTCTTTTTTTTTTTGAGACAGAATTTCCAACATGTTGCCCGGACTGGTCTCAAACTCCTGGTCTTGAGGAATTTCCCACCTCAGCCTCCTGAGTTGCTGGGACTGCAGATGTATGCCACTGAACCCAGCTCATTTCTCACTTTTAATATATTATGAGCAAACGGTTAGGGAGAATTAATTATTCTCTTCCTCTTTACCCTAGGAAGTAATTTTTACCCTAACCCAAAATGTAAGAATTTTCCAGGAAAACACTACCTGTAAAGACAAAATCTGTCCTGCTTGCTGGTGTAAGGAGAACAACTGGATTTGGTCCACGTCAAAAGAATGTGGACCAAATCCCGCTGGTGTCAGCAGGTCATTTGGGGAAAGACACTTTGTAACACTGAACCTCTGTTTCCTCATCTGTAAAATAGGAATAGTAAGAATAATAATGCTAGTCTCACAGTTTGATGTGAAGGTAAAATGAGATCATGTGTGCACAGAATCTAGTCCAGACCTGAGAATGTACTTGGCACTCAATATGCAATAATTCTGCTATGCCTTAAGTGTAGAATTTGTTATTACTGTAAATATTACAGCATGAATTTGCCTTGGCACTGCCAAATGGAGGTTTAAGCTCTGGGTCCCAATGCTGAAACACAGAGACTCTGGCCTGCTACGTTAAAAACAGCACCGACCCTAAAGGCTAACCCAAGACAGGCTTTCTCTTTCTCAGGATCCAGTCTGAGGAGGCTGGTATTTATGTGCAGAATTTGCTTCCATAAAGCGGGTTAAGCCAGTTTCCCAGTGCAGTGGCTGACTCCTATGGCTTGGTGTTGCTCTGAGCCACCTGCAGAGCTGGTCTTGGAACCCAGCAGGTCCTCTGAGGGGAGTATGTCTCAGTAGGTGCTCAGGGCAGGCCCCAGAAGCTAGAGGTAACTGGTTGGCCAGAAAATCCACCCAAACCAGTACAGACTAACCGAGATAGGCACAGATCCCTCTGCATAATATGATATCCACAGGCCCCAGGGTGGCTTCTGAGGTCCTAAGGGCCTCTGTGAGAAACATAGCAGAGGCAGGACTGGAGACGAGGTGCTCTTGGCCCATGTTTTGCCCACAGTTGGTAGAGTAGTCAGGGAGGTTTCAGTCTCCTCTTTCTTTGCCCCTTGCTTTTCCTCCCTTCTTTCTTCCTAACTGGGAGGCAGGATTGCACAAAGCCAGGCCCTGGTTATGCTGAAGAGGGGTAAAGGGACTGGGGAAACAGACTGAAGGCCTGGTGACCTGAGGTCCCCTCCCTCTACCTAACAGCAGAGTGAATGATTCTGTGCAGGCAATAAGACTACTACTTATTATAATGATGCTGTGGGGGTCTCCCAGATCATGTAAGAGGGCAGGCCTGCTGAGCAGCTGGTCTTGTTTACAAAGATACAGAGGAGTTTCATGCTGGCTGGCACAAACCTCGGCCCTGAGATCCCACCCTAGGACCCTCAAAACCACCCTAAGATCCAGCAAGCACAGGGTTAACATCAGTCATGGCGTGTCATCATATCTCCAGGGGCTGGAGGCCCAGCAGGTAGGACTTTGACCAGCTCCTTCCTCTTTGATAAACTGAGGAGATAACACTATGGAAAGTGTCACACATGCTCATGGCTCTGTTGCTCTATTTCATTGCTCCTGCCCTCAATTCCCTTAACCTTTTCTAGACCCACAGGTTTCTTCCAAATTCTGGGGCTCAACTGCCTCAATCATTCACCTCTGTTCTTATTCCCAACAGCACCTACCACAAGGCAGACACTGATATCCAAGAGGCAGCTCAGCTTAAACTAAGAAGTTGAGTTTTCATGTTTAACTAGATCAAACGCAACAGAGCAGAGGGCGCTCCCTGCAATGTAACTTCAGCACAGAGACTGTGAACAGCCTCCTGCCACCCCGGCCTCCCGCAGGCAGCCGAGGGGAGGGCAGGACAGCCAACTCGGCCATTTCTAACCCACTCACCCACCGCCCTCCCCCTGTGCCAGGACTGCAGATCCACTTTACTTTTGTTGACCTCAAACTAGGACAACCTCACTAATTAACCAACAAAGCCCCCCAAGTCTGAGACTCAGACATTAAAAACTTCTATTTTCAATAATTCTTTGTCCTCTTTCTGTATATTGATCAAATAACTCACCACATACCACTAATCTGTTAGAAATTAATCCAAGATTGAGCAATTCTACAGCCAGTTAAGCCAGAGTGGAGAATTAATTATTAATTAGCATCATAATGCTTGACAACCCCCCCTTCCTCTAACACATATGCATATACAGACACTTTCTTTAAGAAATGTATTACCAGAACCGGTAGGAACTCTTCTCAGCATATTACTCACTTGAAAACACTAGACAAAAACCACAGTCAGTCTGTCCAACTGCCCTGAAGCTATGACTCTACACTGGGTTTTAAGTCCATTACCTCTGCATTTTTAACATGCAGCTCCCTGGATCATAGATACCTTGATGAAGACAGAGACGAAATTTTACACCTGTGTTAGGGTTGGGTGATTACTGGGGCACAAAGAGAGACATACTCCAACCACACAATGATCCCAAGGAGACAAGAGGCCTACGAAACAGGTAAAATGTTCCTGGAACAGGAAATGTTCACTTGTCACCAGGCCAATTGGTTACCACAAATAATTCCTTTTTCCAAATAACACAAACAAGCAGGGTTTTCCTGCTTGGTCCAAGAGGAGGGAGCAGCAGCAGGAGACCAGCTGTCTTGTGTGTAGTCCCAATGCCTGCTTCTAACAGCAAGACAAATCCTTGATGGAAATGTACAAAGTAATGGAGCTGGCAAGGAATCAGAAGGAAATACCCAGGCCCCTTTCTTCCTGGTGACACATGTATGCCATTTTCTGAAGCTCAGAAGCAAGCAGGAAAAGAGGGCAAAGGTGAAGATATATGTATGACTTTGAGTTTCTCATCCATCTAGGGAATTTTCTTTAATTGTTGGGTTTGATTTTAAATGAATGCCTGTACAACAGGAAATCAGCTCCAGTACAAAAAAATAAAGTCATGTGGAATTTTTGAAAATTGCCACACAGTAGGATCTGTATCTGAGTTGTTATAATGAAAAAATAATTCCTGTTTCTTAATTTAAAAAATTATGAAGTATACATTTTAGCTTTGTTAACGGTGCTCAGCCTAACATTAAAATGTCAGGGGAAGTAGGTCATAGAGAAAGCAGTGCCACCCGAGATGGCTGGCACATGATAATGACCGGAGGAGGAGGAGCAGGAGCAGGGGCCATGCTCCCCTGTCACCTGGGGTGGCTCTCTGAGGAACACTTACTTGGGTGTGCCTGTGGGTTTCCAGTACCTGCAGAAGAGGTACTGTCCGTCTGCATTGACCAGGTGAGGGAGGTCCTGGTAGGGAACGCTCTGCGGGGTCCGCCTGGGGGAACTTTCCTCTGGCATTCTGGAAGGGTCTTCAGGTCCTAGAAGGAAAAGTGACATATTCCAAAGTCAGAAACATCTCAATTGTGTATGGACAGGAGAAAAAAGCCTAGTTCAGAGTTAGTAAGATTTTTTAAAAACAGTTTTAAAAACCCCTCCATTTCAAAGGTTTAAAAAATACATACATTTCTTGCAAACCTCTCCAAGACTGGAAAATCCCATTTGTTAAGAAAATGCTCACTTTATTTTTTAAGGGCCTCATTACAGCTTTCCCCCTTTCCCATCTGTGTTTATTTTAAATCATTTCAGGAAACTTCATCTTAAAGACTATTTTAGCTGTAATCAAGTGGAAATTATAGTCAGCTCTATGGGTACAAAGACCCAGCTGCAAGACCCATCGATCTTAAAATCTCCAAGGAACAGTTTCAAGTGGGCACAATAATGAGGTGGATGATACTCAGATTATTCCTCCCATCTGAAATTCCAAGGATACATGACAAACCTGTTTCCATCATGTGCTGGCGTTTGCATTCCACAAACACGACAGCCTGGAGAATCAGAAAGAGGCAAACCGGGCTGTTCCCTCATCTGGGCGGCCCCAAGGCAGCATGCAGGCAGCTCCCGAGCCCTCTTCCCGCACCCAGGCCCTTGCCTTTCAGGCTGGGGCGCTGAGCCGGGAGCCTGCTTCCAGCTCCCACCTGCAGGCTCTCTGGTGCTCCCCTCCCTCTCCAGGACAGGGAGCGGCGCTGCGATTCTCCACTACTAGTTCATGTCATCACTTTTCCTAAACAAATCGCTGGAGGGGCTCAGAGAAGGGAGGGGCCCGGGAAACTGGGAAACTAGCTCCGCGCACAAGGAGGCAGCTCGCAGACGCACAAATGCGAGTCCCCAAGGCAAAGTCGCCTCCAAGGCTTCTCTCAAACTTTGCTTCCTGCGCGTCTCTGACAGCACAGGACGTGTAGCCCCGCAGCTGTCATCGGAAATGCTGCTGGGAAAACCGGCGGGGAGGCGGTGGGGGCGGGCAGTTCAGCCGGTGTCTGCACCAGGGACAGTGGGGACTGGAAATATGGAGTTGATGGGGACAAGTTGGTTTGGGGGCTGCTGCGAGGGAGCAGGGAGGGCGCGCGCACACACACGCGCGCGCACACACGGACACGCGCGCACACACACCGCGCAAACATACGCACACAGGGGGCGCGAGAGCCCACGCCGGGCGTGTCAGGGATCCCGATGCTGCTCCCCACCCCTGACGGCGGCACTGGCTGACTGGGGCGGGGGCAGGGAGGCAGTTACCCGGGCCACGAGCGCCGCAGTCGCGTTCCCCGAGTGCCGCGGATCCTCGTTTGCGGGCCGGGACGAGCTGAGCGCAGCCGGATTCGCGGCGACAGGGTGCGGCGTCTGCGCCGCCACTTTATCCCTGGGCCGGCTCGCCGGCGGGGGCGGCCCGAGGTGGGTGGGGACGCACGGGACCCGGCGGGCGGCGGGTGGCGCGGGGAGGCGGCGCCCGGGGCCCACGTGTGCCCGGCCCACGGGGAGGAGCAGGGGCGCCGCCCGCCGACCCAGCCATGCGCTCCTTTCCGCCCCGCCTCATGGACAGCCGCGCCCCGGGGTGGCCGCCCAGGGACTGTCAGGGGGGTCTGTACTGAGATGGGTTCCTGGGAACCTCAGCGCAGGAGGACACACCACACCCACCGGCACACGCGAGCACACAGACCCACAGGCACCACATGTACACAGACCACACTCACAGGGCCGAACACACACCACACACATGCACCCTCCCAAAGTCACTACACTGCACGCAGGGACACATAGACACACATCCCAGAGATACCACATGCTTACAGACACAGACAGACCACACATGCATGCACACACACAGCACCCGACAAACCCAAGCGGCACAAAGACAGACACCTGACATCCACAGACACACAAACTCACTTAGATTCACACAGAAAGTTAGGTAGACAGAGACATAGGCACAGACAACCCACAGAGACACAGATGTGCACAGACATCTGCAGACAACCCACCTGGCCCACACATATACACAGACACACTCACATCATACACATACAGTCATACACAGATACACTCACACCACCTGCAGTCAGACACACAAAATGCTGGAGGGGGGATTAACCGGGCATGGTGGCATGCATCTGTAGTCCCAGCTAGCTACTCGGGAGGCTGAGGCAGGAGAATTGCTTGAACCTGGGAGGCACAGGTTGCAGTGAGCCAAGACCACACCATTGCACTCCAGCCTGGGCGACAGTGAGACTGCACCTCAAAAGAGAAAAAAAAGAAATGCTGGGGGGTGTTTTCGATCTCGGGTGGGGTAGAAGCAGATGGTGAGAGCCTACAAATGCCTTGTCCCTTCCTGGCAGTTCCCAGCAACCCTCCTGTGCCCCGCAGCTGGACCCCCCAAATAAAACCTCTGGTATATCTACACAGGCTGGGGCACAGTCTGAGCTCTGTCCAGTATAATTGGCAACATGGCCATGGAGGGTACAGCCACTGGACTGAGACTCCAGACCACCCAGGTTCAACATCAGCTCCTCCACTTGCTCTTTCAGCCTCAGTCTCCCCACCTACATAGATAGAGTGATCTATCTATGTCCCAGAGGAGTGCCCCTGACTCACACTGACCTCAATGAGTCTTCCTGTCCTTCCTTCCTTCACAAAAAATTTTACACCATTGCAGCGTTGAGAACTGCTGTCTTCCAGAGATTGGTGTCTTGAGGTCACACTGTGTGTGTCCAAGGAGGCCCAGGTTGTTGTAGAGCCTGCGGTCTAACCTGAGAAATAAAACAACAGCCTTTGAGCAGCGGCTTGGGTTGTAGTTGCTGCTGAGCATGACTCACCCACTCTCTGGCCTCCAGCAGGCCACCAGGCCTGGAACAGAGGAGTGGCCAAGTGACTTCTGATGGGGGCAGCTCTACAGAATCCATGCAAGAGAGGTTTAGGGGCGGCAGTCTCAAGGGCAGGAAGCTTGAGAACTTCACTCAAAGCTGGGCACACTAAGTGCACTGGATTTCTGTGGGTTAAAATTTTGAAAGGAAGGGTGGTTGGGAGTCTGACGGACCCTTTTATCAAAGCCATAATTTCAAATGTTTCCAGCTTTTAACATTTTCATTAACATTTAATATTATGTTAAGATATTTACGTTTTAACATTTCATGATTTAAAATACACAGCTTGAAAGTTTGTTTTGTTTTGTTTTGTTTTTAGACAGAGTCTTGCTCTGTCGCCAGGCTGGAGTTTAATGGCATAATCTTGGCTCACTGCTACCTCTGCCTCCCGGGTTCAAGAGATTCTCCTGCCTCAGCCTCCCAAGTAGCTGGGACTACAGGAGCACACCACCATGCCCAGCTAATTTTTGTATTTTTAGTACAAAAAGAGTGGATCTCTTGACCTCATGATCAAAAGCAGATCTCTTGACCCCATGTGCCTGGCCCACAGCTTGAAAGTTTTGAGAAGAGGCCGGCACCGGGGCTCACACCTGTAATCCCAGCACTTTGGGAGGCCAGGTGGGTAGGTCACCTGATATCAGGAGTTTGAGACCAGCCTGATCAACATGGTGAAACCCCGTTGCTACTAAAAATACAAAAATTAGCTGGGCATGGTGGTATGCACCTGTAATACCAGCTACTCAGGAGGCTGAGGCAGGAGAATCGCTTGAACCCAGGAGGTGGAGGTTGCAGTGATTGCGCTCCAGCCTGGGTGACAAAGTGAGACTCTATCTCAAAAAAAAAAATTGAGGACAGACTTCACTGGAGTTGTCAGAGGGATCTCAATAGAAATGACACTTTCAAATTGGAAGAGCTCCACCAAACTTGGTTATGGACACAACTGAGAATGTGGTGTGTGGCGAGCCGACTAGGAATTTGGGAGTTAAGAGATAGATTGTATTGTTCCATATCTGGCTTTTTATTTTAATTAAACTTATTCTGAGATAATTGTGGATTCGCATGCAGTTGTCACAAATAACACAGAGAGATGCTATGTGCCCTTTACTCAATTTCCTTCAGTGGCAACTTCTCATAAACCACAGTAAATATCACAACAGGATGCTGACATTGATACAGTCAAGGTACAGAACATCTCCATCCCATAAAGGTCCCTCGTGGCACCCTTTTATAGCCACATCCACTTCTCATCCTCACTCCCCCACAACCCCTGGCAACCACTAATTTGTTCTCCATTTCTAAAATTTTGTCATTTCAAGGCCATTTTGTGAATAGAATCATAAAGTACATAACTTCTTAGGATTCACTTTTTCATTTTGCATAATTCTATAGTTGGGTATAGTAGTCCACAGTATGGAAATACCACAGTATGTCTAACAAGTCATCTGCTGAAGGATATCTGCGTTTTTTCCAGTTTTTGATGATTAAGAATAAAGCTGCTTTAAACCTCCATGTACAGGTTTTGTGTGAACCTAAGTCTTCGTTTCTCTGAGACAAGGGCCCGGGAATGCAATTGCTGAGCTGCATGGAAATTGCAAGTTTTTAAAGAGAATGCAGAAATGTTTTCCAGAGTGACTGTAACATTTTACATTCCCACCAGCCATGTAGGAGAGATCCAGTCTCTCAGCATTCATGTCAGCATGTAGTGTTGTCACCATTTAAAAATTTTTAGTCTTTCTGTTAAGTGTGTAGTGATGATACTTCACTGTGGTTTTTAGTTTGCTTTTGTCTAATGGCTAATGTTGTTTCATGTGCTTATTTGCCATCTATATATCCCATTCATTCAGTAAAATGTGAAATGTCTCTTCTTGTCTTTTGGCTATTTTCTTGGCCTTTTTTTTTTTTTTTTTTTGAGACTGTGTCTCACTCTGTAACCCAAGCTGAAGTGCAGTGGCGCCATCTCAGCTCACTGCAACCTGCACCTCCCAGGCTCAAGCAATTCTCATGCCTCAGCCTCCTGAGTAGCTGGGACTACAGGCACCTGTCACCATGCCCAGCTAATGTTTTTTATTTTATTATTATTTTTTTTTAGTAGAGATGGGGTTTTACCATGTTGGCCAGGCTGGTCTTAAAATCCTGCCCTCAAGTGATCCACCCCCATCTGCCTTCCAAAGTGCTGGGATTACATGCATGAGCCATGGTACCCATCCTTTAGGCTATGTCCTTCCTTTTTTTCTCCCTCCCTCCCTCCTGTTCTTCCTTCCTTCCTTCCTTCCTACATTCCTTCCTTCCTTCCTTCCTTCCTTCCTTCCCTCCTTTCTTTTTCCCTACAAGGTTTTATTCTGTCACCCAGGCTGGAGTGCAGTGGTGCACTCCACTCACTGCAGCCTTTTGGCTATTTTCTAATTGTTTGCTTCTTTTTTTTTTACTGTTGAGTTTTGAGAGTTCTTGGCATATTCTAGACTGTAGTATACTAGATACTAGATATGTGATTTGCAAATACTTTCTTCCAGTCTGTAGCTTCTCTTTTAACAAGGTCTTTTGCAGAGCAAAAGTTTTCATTTTGATCAGATACAATTTATCAATTTTTCATTTTATGGATTATGCATTTAGTGTCAAGTCTAAGAACTCTTCACTTAGTCCAACCTCAAGAGATTTTCTCCTGTGTTTTTCTCTAAAAGTTATATAGTTTACATTTTTTGCTTAAGTCTATAACCTATTTGGAGTTACTTTCTTTGTGGAGTGCTAGATGTAAATCAATGTTCATTTGTCTCTACATGTCCCATTGCTCCAGCACAGTTTGTTGAAAAGGCTGCCTTTCCTCCATTGAATTGCTTTTGCACATTTGTAAAATTCAGCTGGCCTGCTTGTACAGGTGTATTTCTGGGTTCTCCATTTTGTTTCCTGGATCTGTGTCTATTCCTCCACCAATATCACATAGTTTAGTCTTGATTACTGAGGTTCTCTAATAAATCTTGAAATGGAAATTGAATAGGCTGGTTCCTCTGACTTTATTCTTCTTTTACAAGCCTTTTTTATTTTATTATTTTATTTTTTTTGGTAGAGAAGAAATCTCTGCTGTCCAGACTGGTCTTGAACTCCTGGTCTTAACCAATCTTCCCACTGCGACCTCCTAATGCATTGGGATTACAGGTGTGAGCTACCATACTCAGTCTACAAGATTCTTTTAACTATTCTAGTTCCTTCACCTTTCAATATAAATTTTAGGATAATCTTGTTTATATTCATTAAAAATCTTGCCTGGTTTATGATAGAAATTGCATTAAACATGTAGATTTTTCAAGAAGTGACATTTTTACTATTGAGTCTTCCAATCCATGAACATGAGTATATATGTCCATTTATCTAGTTGTTCTTTGATTCCATTCATAAATGTTGTATAGTTTTCAGCATACAAATTATATACACATTTTGTCAAATTTATACCTATTTTTAAAAAAGTAATTACAAATGTTAGGTATATTTAATTTCAGTTTCCACATTTATAGCATATAGAGATACAATTGATTTTTGTAT